AGGGACACCCTGTATATTGGTGGGATATATATAAAGAGGGTTCATGTGTACGAGATTCATATTTTATTAATGGGGTGAGGTTTTTATGTGGGTGAGGCTTATTAATGGCGAGTCATATCAACGGGTGGCGGAGCTCAAACGATAATCCTGTATATGGGACAAAGGTATCATATTCATGAAAATAAATCTAAATGATTTTCGGGACTCATCACACTACATGTCGGCTTGAAATTGAGACGAGTTCGAGTATCTCTGGACTAGTTCTCTCACCTCTTGCTTTCAATCTATCGTCTTGTCTTACGACTGTTCACGACAAGAGAGTCGTTCTCTCGTCTTGTCTCGACTTCAATGCTCTTTTGCGGCATCGCCACTAAGACCATTATATCTTGACCTTTTAGAGAAGTCTATATCACTTTCAAACCACATTTGAAAGCCATCAAATTGATCGATTACAAACCTGTCATTCAAAACAAAAATGGAGACGTTTCAAATGTAGACGTTTTTCTCTGTCATACTGCAGTCACTGATTTGTCCTATGACTAACGCTGACATGTCAGTTTATTTTTTCGCATGCCTCATTGGTATGGACGATCAGGCAACTAAATATGTATTACCCCTCAGGAGTACAGGCTGGGGGGTTGCTCGTCCTTGTTCATTTGGTTGTTATAAGAAAGTGGTCGAGGCAAGACAGTTACGTGTGCATATATCACATACGCTTTTTGCTAATTGGATTATGGATAGCATGATTATTCATCCGACAAAAGTAGTCGTTATGCTATATTTGTTTACATTACATGCGTTTAAAATAATAAGCATGATCAATTTTGAAGAATTGCCTACACAGATGTTAGGGATGAATCCCTGGGTTCTGCTAATTGGAGATAAATCGCCCTACAGTAGATAGATACTGGAATCTGGTATATTACTCGGTAGAAATAGAGGTATTTATTTATTCAAACTAACTCATAATTATCCTGAAGGGATAAATATGCGGAATTTACAAAGATGATACAAAATAAGTATTATGCTTGTTTTACGTTGACGACTGAACTCACGAGGATTCGTGAGTCCTCGTGAGTTCAGTTTATATAATAATTAAGCGGTTCATGTTATGGGACTGGTCAGCAGTTTTGCACATGATTGCTGAATTAGTAAAATAATGAGTGAAACAAGTTGAACTCAATTCATTGTTCACTTTCTTCACTTTTGTAAATAAATTATTACTTAATTCATTTAACCTTATCTGGGGCATAACATTCCTCCCCGCTAGGGAAGAAAGTTTCTATCATTGGAAATTTTCTTACCTGACACAATTTTCCTTATCATATTTTCAGATTTTACAAAATTATTAAATTCATTATTAACAGTATACTTCTTATTGAATTCTCCATTATTTTCTTCGAAATTAATCATTCCTTGATTTTTTCCCAAGGTCTAAAATACATTTTCAAGAAAGTTATGCTATTCTCAAAATTTCCTAATAAGGTGAAAATTTGAATCTTTAAATTAGAAATTAAATTCTGAAATGGCACTTCTCTGAGAAAATCACATTTCTTAAAATCCAATCGAACTTCTGATAATCTTCTGATAATATTTTCAATTATTGACTCTTCCAACAAAATTCTGCACAATTCGTAATTTTTGGGAGAAAATTGGGTTCGTCTTCTAAAAATGATTTTCGCATGTTTTGTGAATAATAATATTACGCGTTTTTCGGGAGACGGCCGGAATGCGTACGTTATCTGCTCGGTTCTCTTGTAGCGATTCATTCTGCTGATTCAGCAGGTTGAACGCCCCGTTAAATTTCTTATGACGAATTCCACTGGCGTATTTTGTAAACACATCAAGTGAAAATTCATCCGTTAAGTGTTCCTTGCAGTAAGAAAATTCTTCCTCTCATTTCCTGTCGTTCAACTCCAGACGGTTTTTGGCAACGTTCTTATGAGTGTTTCTATGGACCAAGAAAAACTTTTGTTTGATTCCTACTGGGCAGTCGAAGTTTTTGAAAGATACATCGAAATAAAAAAGGAAGCCAAGTTCGGAATTTTGAATAAATGGTGATAGTGCACAATCAGGTTTCTATAAGAAAAATAGTGCTCGATGGAATAAGTATTCTAAAAAAATTCTCCATAAAATAAAAAATCAGTAGGAATAGGACCAATGTCCTTGGCGCCGATCAAAGGATGGAGGAGTAGATTGATACAGACAGTGAATTGAAAAACTCCGCGCCAAGAACGTTGGTCCTGCTCCTACTGATTTTTTATTTCATGAAGAATTTTTTTAGAATACTTATTCCATTGAGAACTATTTTTCTTATAGAAAGCTGATTGTGCATTATCACCATTAATTCAAAATTCCTAACTTGGCTTCGTTTTTTATTTCTATGTATTTTTCAAAAACTTCGACTTCCCAGTAGGAATCAAACAAAACTTTTTCTTGGCCCAGTTTTATTACAAAAACATTTTTTTTTGTGTTTTTAGGCAGATTTCATTATTTTTTTCAAAATAAGCACGGACTGTTTTTACATCCGGTGAAATTTCTTCTTTTCAATTCAATTTAATTCATTCATTTTTCATAAGATAGAACATTTTTAAAAATAAACAGTTTTACTCCAGATTTATTCTCTCCACCAAATTTCCAATTTTAATCGTCTATTAATAATTTTCTGACTTGATTTGGTTCCTCATTCAATTTTTGCTCTGATGATTCCTATATGGATTATATTTCGTGGAGAGATGAATTGATTTCCTTATAGAAATAGTCAAACAAAATGTTCACAAAGAATTCTTTTTGAAAACATCTGTTTTTGTTTTTCTTTTGTTTTTAAAAATATTAGGGAAACATTGGGTGGAATGGACTCTTCTGAGTTCTTGTTTCAATATTTATAACCAATCACAAAATTATTCTCATTTCACTGTCACTTAATTTAGTGAATTTTTTTCCACGGAATGAAAAGATTTTCTGTTACACTGGGAGAAAAATAAATATTTTCTTTTCGAATTTAACTATTCACGGATATTTAATACTTGATCACACAATACTTCACATCTCACTTTTGTCACATTCCAAACTGTGACGTTTTCCTTAATTACAATAAACTAATTCCTGAAATAAGGAGAGGGTAATTAAAGAAAGAGGGCAAATGAAAGGTTTAGTTTAAATAACGAATGACATTCTCTGAACTTTACAATAAATAGATCGTCAGAAGACGTCAAAAAGGCCTTTATTCGAGATTTAGGAGAGTGGGGAGGCCAGGCAACTTTTGTACACGTAAAAAGAGGGATGATTTTAAGTGAAACAAAAGGGAAGAAGCTAGTCGTGTCGAGGGGATTAAATAAGAAAAGATGTATGAATTAATGACTCTGCTGGGGGGAAGAAAGGGAATGTGTAGGCTCACCGTTGGGGGTNGAAGGAGATAACTCGTACTCACGTCGACCAAAAAGGGCTTCACAGTAACGTCCTCCTTTAGAAAAGTCCTCAAAAATAGTCCTCAGGGCCTTCGTTCCTCCTACAGACTCCAGGGGCTCCAAAGCGAGATTTGGGATGGACTCCAATCTATCCAGTCATCCTCTTTTTTCCACCAAAATAACTTCCGGGGCCACTTTACAATTTACAAGGAATTAACTCAGGTGGGCACGTGGCAATCCACGGGGCAGCTGTAGCACGAGTGATTCTTTTCTCTTCTCTTCCTTCTTCTCCTTCGTAATTCGGGGGAATTCGCAGGATCTCGAGGTCCTTCGCGTCAACTTCGAGGGCCATCGGGGCCAATCAAGGTGTTGAGATTATGCCCGCGATCACAATTCAGAGACGTATCGGTCGTGAAATTCGACGGCGGTGGACTGTCGAGGCTTATCCATGGGCGTTTCTCGGGCGCGACGGCTCCTTCTGTCACTCCAGGTGATTCGGAACTACTGACTTCCTTCGATGGCTGTTCGTCGTAGAATCCAGGGGCGAGGGCAGAGGGGTAGCGAGGGGAATAGCTAGGGAAAGGGTAACCGACGGTGGCGGGATTTACGTTTTTAGGGGGCTGTGTGTGTTGAGGAAAAATGTGTATAAAAATAATAAAAAATAAAGAAATGTGCCTCGTCACAAACCATAAACCGATAACCTCACAAACAGTACATAAACTACCTTTATGTCCGAGGTCCGCATATGAATACAGATATGGCGGGATGAAATTCAAATTTTCGACGAGAGAAAACAAAATAGAACACCGAGTCGATTTTCCGTTTCATTCTAAAAAGTGATTCAACGTCAAGAAAAACATTTTGCGTGGTTCTCCATAACAAAATCACAACCCACATTCAAATGTACTGGTGGCAACACTTTAACGTTGGATATGAAGCTCAGTTGGACCGGCGCTGTCAACGTTACAGCTTGATTCTCACACTTTATACTATGAATCACGAGAATGTGAATATCAACTCGTTGCTATGCGCCTATCTTTTTTACTGTTAATCCAAAAAATGCCATAGTTACACCGTTCCAAAGCTCATAGGCGATTTATATAATGTAACTAACGACACTTTCTCGATTTGTCGTCCCGTTTTCATTATACCGAATGTAAATCATTTAGAGGTAGTGGAGGGGGAAGTTCTGTCGTGTATAGATATATGGTGCTCTCGGCCTGATGTTTTGCGCAGTAGGTCAAAACTTTTCTTGGCCGATACGCTACCGCGTATCTCGATATGAGGAATTTCCAAAGATGATACAAAATAAGTGTTATGCTTGATTTATGTTGGCGACTGAACTCCCGTATCCTCGTAAGTTCAGTTTATATAGCAATTAAGCGGGTCATGTTATGACACTAGTCAGCAATGTTGCACATGAACGCTGAATTAGTAAAATAATGAGTGAAGCAAGTTGCACTCAATTTATTGTTCACCTTCTTCACTTTTGTAAATAAATTATTACTCAATTTATTGACCCTATTCTGGGGCATAACACAGACCTTCATTTTATCAGTTGTATATTAATTGAATGCAATTTTTATGAAAAAGGGACAAACCGGATTTCCATGGATCGATGCGATTATGACACAATTGAGGGAAGAAGGCTGGATACATCATTTAGCTCGTCATGCAGTCGCTTGTTTCTTGACTCGGGGCGACCTTTGGATTTCCTGGGAAGAAGGAATGAAGGTAAGGTATCGCTGAATATAGTAGTTTTACTGACATTGAAACAGAAGATACGGTAGTGTCTACAGAGAAGTACGTGATGACTGCGGAGAGAGTGTACCGCACTCCTATACAGCTAAATTGGATGCCAAAAAATAAATTTGAAATTAGCACAAAAGTATTGCTCTGAAGAAGATTGTTCTTTCTTTATATACTCTATTTACGATGATCTCAAATTGAATAATCATAGAACAGTTGTGATGACCATGTCGTCAACAATTAAATTTTGGTTTCCACGGTAATATATCGTGACGGGAAAAAATATGTGAGTTTTTTCCCCTATACTATTATTATCCAAAAGATCCGTGAGCGTTACCAGGCTTCTCTCTTTGGTTTCTATGCTCAAATCCATCTCCCTATTCCATAAACCATATATTTAGTAATCTCATTCGAAACCTCATCAAATAAGCTTCAAATTGACATCTGATTTGTCCAATTCTGACTATTTTTTATTGACTTAGGAGAGTTTTAGGAGAAAATTCAATTTTTCTATTTCACTTGAAAAATTCACTTTGATTGAATTTTTCGATACTTCAAAGTCGACTAGATAGGAATGTTTATATATCATTTTGAATGGCATTTTATATCTTTGAAAATGATGTCTCATTTAATTCAATTTTCATCAAGTTATTGCAGATCGTTTAGATTTTTAAAGTTATGTTACACCTAAAAAAAGTTGTTGCTGACGGCATCCCGGGGGCACCAGTCCTCTCACATGGCCGTTGATCCCTAGTCTACTCCGACATAGCCTATAGAATCGCCCAGTTGGACAGCCTATACGTCGGCCCCTTTTCCCCTAGTACATGCTGGGCGAATTCTAATATGGCTATAGTCTAGTAACGCCCTCCAGACCTCCAGGGGTCGCGGTTTCACCCATAACTGCTATGCCTTAGATTCTTTTCATCTAGCCCCGGCTCCTGCAGCCGCCTCTAGATATCGCTTCATGTCTCAATTTTAGAGTTCACGTATTTTTTAAGGGGATTTCAACCCGTAACGAGAAAATCTCGTTACATACCTCCCTCCTTAAGAGAGGTTTCGACCCGAAACCTAGACGTTTCAAGCCAAAAATCCTCCAGGAGTACCTACTCTTCACCTTCTGACTCTTCAGTCGGGGGGTCTTCCCAAGCTTCCCTATAGGGCTTCATGTCCACTATAGCGGTGTCTTTGGTATTACGACCCGTCATATCAGAAACCTGGTAAAAGTTTCTGGAGTGCTTCTTGGTCACCACGAAAGGTCCATTGAACGGTTTGTTCAAGGACGCTGAACGATCCTTGACAGCACTCGACAGCTCGTGGCCGCAAACTAGGACTAGTTCGCCGACCTCGAATTCACCTTTCTTTTGGCGCAAGTTATAACTTTGTGTTTGTCGATCATTAGCTTCCGTCCGTGCATGCCCAAAGGCCAATCTCAGGGTGTCATGACGCTTCATGCGCTCGACCCAGGCCTCGGTCGGAGTTTCTTCAACTTCGACATCTCCTTCCAGCTTTCGTCGCAGCGAGTTTGTTGGCTCGGCCTCTCGCCCGAGATTTACGAAAGCCGGGGTTGCTTTCAGGGAACTGTGTTGGACTGTATTGTATGCAAATCGAAATGCAGCCAGATGACAGTCCCAATTACGGTGATCCTGTTCTACATACGCTCGCATCATAGCTTTTAGCGAACGGTTCACTCTTTCAGTGGGGTTCGCTTGCGGGTGATATGGCGGCGTTGTTCGGTGCTTTATATTAGTTGAAGCAGCCAAATCCTTCAAGTCCTTATTCACGAATTCGGTTCCATTATCGGTCAGCAATTCTCGTGGAGCTCCCTATCGATAAATCATGGTTTCCCCTAATGCTTTCCGTATCGTCACACCGGTTGCTTTGCGCAACGGTCGCACTTCCATCCACTTCGTAAAGAAGTCTTGGATAACTAGGATATATTGGTGTCCTGCTTTACTACGCATAAAGGGACCCATAATATCGGCCGATATTGTTGACCAGGGTTTCTCGATTGCGCGAGGTCCCATCTGGCCTATCGGGGCTTGTTGTTGCACTTTGCAGCGCTGACATTCGTAACACGCACTTACGTATGTCATCACGTCCTCAAACACCGCTGGCCAATAATATTGATTGGCCAAGCGTTGGCAGGTCTTGTCAACACCTTGGTGTCCTGCCTGCAGTAAATCGTGGCATTCGCGTATAGCGGCACGTCTCATTTCACGAGGGAGAACTAATTTACACTCGTCCAAGTCTTGGTTGTCCACTGAGGCAATTGTTTTCGGCCTCAGGTGGTACAACAGTCCTTCGGAAATTTTCCATGTAGGATATTTTTCCGGAATTCTCTCTACGTCTCGACAGCACCGGAGATACCATTTATCTTCCGTATCTACCGGCATCGAGAGTGACTCCGTTACTCCTTCCGGTGCGCGTGACAAGGCGTCAGGGACATGGTGAAGCGCCCCCTTCCGGTGTATGATTTTGTAATCATGCTCTAACAACCGGAGGTTCCATCTCCCTAGCCTTCCAGCCGGGTCTTTCATATCATGAAGCCACCTTAAGGCGCTATGGTCCGTGATTACTGTGAAGGGGTAACCCTTCGAAGTAACAGCGGAACTTCATAATTGCCCACACAGCTGCTAAACATTCCTGCTCAGTCAATGTGTTTTTTATTCCAAGGCCTGTTAATGAGCGACTAGCGTAAGCTATAACTCGCTCTTGTCCATCTTGTACTTGCGTGAGTACAGCACCAAGTCCCACACTGCTCGCATCCGTTTGCAGGGTTAACGGCAGTGAAAAATCGGGACAAGCAGGAGTTGGAGGCGACGTTAAGTGCTTTTTCAGCGCTTCGAAGGCTTCTTGCTGTTCGTCATGCCATAACCACGGCTGATTCTCCTTGGTCAGAAGTGTCACCGGTTGAGCTATGGATGCAAACTCTGGTATAAATCGTCTATACCAGGATGCCATTCCCAGAAAACGACGAATCTGTTTCAGATTCTTTGGCACGGGAAAATCCACGACTGCCAATGTTTTCTCTGGGTCGACTTATAGTCCTTGACTGTTCACGACGAACCCGAGGTATTTCACCTCGGAACGACGAAAAACACTCTTCTCTCAATTTATTGTGAGACCGTGATCTCTCAACTTATCGAGGGCCTTTCCCAACCACGTGAGGTGTTCCCCAAATATCCTTGAAACGATAATGATATCATCCAAGTACACGAACACGTGGGGATACATCTCTGGACCAATTAATTCGTCCAGGGCCCTATGGAAGGTAGCGGGTGCATTTGTCAGTCCGTAGGGCATGCGTTCGAACTGAAAAAACCCTCTTCCCGGCACCGTGAATGCAGTGATCTCTTTCGAGTCCTCTGCCACCGGTATTTGCCAATACGCGGCACTCAAGTCGAGTGTCGTGATATAATTGGCTTGTCGCAACTCATCAAGGATGCCGGTCATATTTGCAACCGGGTAAGCATCTTTGTTCGTTACTTCGTTTACCCGACGGGAATCGATACAAAACCGATATTTTCCGCTAGCTTTCTTAACCATCACAACAGGACTATTCCAGTCACTTTAAATTGCTCGCGTTCGACTAAATCGGAATCTTACTACGGCCTTCTCCCCCTAGTCTGGATATCTCAGCGACGATAGGCCGTTACCCTATCCCTAGCCTATCCATAGCCTATAGCCTATAGAATCGCCCCGTTGGACAGCCTGTACGTCGGCCCCTTTTCCCCTAGTACATGCTGGGCGAATTCAGACCTTCAGGGGTCGCGGTTTCACCCATAACCGCTATGCCTTAGGTCTTTCATCAGTTTGTGACTCTGTTCATCTAGTCCCGGCTTTTTCAGCCGCCTCTAGATGTCGCTTCATGTCTCAATTTTAGAGTTCACGTATCTTTTCAAGGGGATTTCAACCCGTAACGAGAAAATCTCGTTACATACTTTTTCGAGAAATAAGAGAGTGCCAAGGAAAGGTCGCTCTGGTATTATATATAATTTTTGGAGAACAATACGGCTGTGAGTAAAAAATTTCCATTCTTTTAGATTGCCTTTTAGATGTAACTGTTGAATTAATGATTATATATCAATTGTGATTCAGTAAAGTGGATTCACAATTTACGATTTCTATATTTTTGTGATAATCATATCATCATTAAAATCCTTGAAAATTGAATAGTTTGTTGAGAGTTGATAATGAAAATAAAACAAGATTGATAATTGAAGATTATTTGAGATTATTTGAGAATACTAGTGTCAGGTCGAATTGAAAAAACACAATTATTTCCAATAAAGAGTGCAAATTCAGGGAATCATATTGATAAAAGTAGTGGAGATAAAAATGAAAATGAAAAAATCAGGACCAGTTACGCGCTTCGCGCTCACCCTCTTTGGGGTATGACCGGTAGGGTTTGGTGGAATAGGGTGTGATCCATTACGGGTCGAACCAATAACTTCCCGACCGTTTATTTCTTCTTTCATTATTTTTTTTTATTATGTATTTATTCAACCTTTTTCTCACTTTTCTCCGGGGAAATACCCATAGCAGAAAAGTTTCTTCGTAGATTTAATGAATGCTGGGGTCATGCCACAGTGCATGCAGCACACGCTATACGCAACGCTAGTCAATGTCAGAAATATTCGGAAAACAGTTGGATAATTATTTCATGCGTTTCATGCGTTTAGCATTGCATCCATTGTGGCACTACCCTTAGGGAGATTTCGCAAAGAACGCATTTGCAATTTAAGTTAACTCAAACTTCAATCAAGTTTGAGTTAATCCCACTTTACTTGACCCACTTCAAAATGCTCTCAACTCCGAAACTGATCCACTTAGAAATTGGCAACTTCAAAGTTTACCCTATTCAAAATTTTGCAACTTTCCTTTTTTTTTAATTTCAAAATTCAAAAGTTTTATTTAAAAAACTCAACAACCACTGAGGCGATTTCGCTCAAAATCCAATGAGAATCAAGTTATGTGGAGACGCATCGATTACGCAAAATTAATTCAAATCACATCGTTACCTTAGGCAAAATGGTCGAATTTCTATGAAATTAACGCTTTTTGGCATTTTTTTACAAGTTTTATGCGGATGTATAAAAAACCGCTGAGTCAATT